CTCAGGGGTAAGCCACCTCCCTTCCACCCCCAGATAGTCACACCCACACATGTCTAACACTCAAAAATTAAGTTCTTTAATTTTTACATTTCATTGCCTGGGATTGTTTCAGAGGTGGGTTCCCACTGGTTCAGCCGGACACGCACCCGAACCAGTTCTATCCTCGGTGGCGCCATCTTGATTTTATGTCCTGCACATGCGCAGAACAATCTTCATTGAAAAAATCTATTTTTTCCCTTTTTAAATATTGTGACTTTTTAGGTGCAAATGTGCACGCTCATGAAACACATTTTTTCAGGCGCTGAACCGGTAGTAATGCCGGCAGGAACCCACCCACCCCTGGATTGTTTTATCAATTCATTGAACAAATACACACTGCTGTGACACTATGTTGGGTTGCCATCAACTTTCTATTCAGGAAGACAAAGTATGTAGAAATTAGCAACAAAAAAGATAGAATAGCAGGAGAGGGGCAAGGAAAAACAACTGAATCCCAGAAATGATATTGGGAATTCCAGCTTTTTCCCCGCTATGACTAAACTGAGAATGCAGAAATGGAGTATCACAAATTGTAGCATGACAAAATACTTATTTTAAAAATGAAAAAACTATCTGTAAAACAAAGCTTCTGTTCTAGTTTATGCAGATTCCTTACACAGAAGGATTTAGTACTCTTTTAAAACTTGTGTTTAAGAAGCTGGCTTATTACTTTGCTGCAAATGTGTATCCTGTTCAGAAGGTTGAGTTGATCAGTATAATTACAGGGTTTTCATTGTTTTTGCATAGGAGAGGGGAGAGACAGGAAGTTCCAGCTCTTTCTGATGCATGTGCAAGCCACCTTAGAAAGCAGATCAGACCTAGATTAAGACATGGAAGAGGGGATATGCCAAGCAGAAGCACTTAAGAGAACTTTTTAATACTTCACTGCACACTCCTCAGCTTCTGTGACCCATCAGCTGGGCTATTTTTAGACAAGGTTTAATATTATTCCAAAAGAATACTGTGTTCCGAAGTCTGGTAACTGACATGTTATAGATGCAGAACACCTTTCTGCCTGCCATCTATTAAATCAAGCATCTTAACCTATCATTCAAGGCCCTTACCAATATTCATCCAGCCTTGCCCCAGCACATTACAGAAATTTGTGGTTTTCCTACTAGCAAGTGACATCTTGTGGGGGGAAATGAACTAAGGGCAGCCATCAATCACTTTCCTTAACGTGTTCCACATTGATACAATAACCACAGTGCCACTCACTGATGTCATTACTAAAACAAAATAGACTTGGTCACTGTGGCAGGAATTTTTATGCCAATATTCTGCCATTCTGGATGGCATTATAATAGTTATCTGGCCAGTTCTTAATCTCTAGTAAGGAACAAATGAAGAAAACATAAAGTGGGAAATACTTTTAAGATACCATCATAATGCCCACACCCACAAGATACAAGGCTGGTTGGAGCAAGTATCCAGGAAGGAAATTTTAAAATATATCTTCATTAGTTGTGTTTTCTACAGAAAACTTTACATGTGGTTGTACAGAGTAACACTGGAATAATATGAATGCAAGGTGCATAACCAAGTCTATAATTAGCCAGGGGTTTGGGTGGGGGGAGAACCATGATCAAAACTGGAAGAGCTACCAGTCATATTCTGCAAAGCCAGGGCCAATATTTCATTCTTAAAGGAAGAATAAGGATTGATAAACATTGACAGGAAGCACACAGCAAAACAACATTAGTCGGAAAGTATGAATTCTTCCATTAGTACTTTTCTGCCTTGGGACTGCTTCAACAGTCCAAGACATGTTAATGACAACTGATCAAGAACAAGCTGTCATGAAAGGTTAACTACAGCTGGGATTTGGAACCTCGGGGTTCTCTGTTTTTCTCAGGGCCTTTGCCTCCACAAGCATTTAGGTCTGGTAAACTAGACACAGGCAAAAGGATTTCAGTCTGCCTTTGTTGACATGCCAGCAACACCCTGATTTCACTTTGCCTGTCAGCTCCTTCCTATATCATGGTAATGCAGTTGCAGTGCAAAAGCTGAGAATACAGAAAAGTGACAAATAAGCAAGCAATATTGCATGGTGTGCTGCCCTCCTGAGCACAAAACAGCGAGCCTCAGGCTGCCTGTTTCCTCTTCTCTGCCACTGCAGTCAGTTCTACCACTTAATTCAAACTAAGCAGGATCTGTCATTAGGTCTGAAATGGAGGAAGTCTGATTAGCGTATTTGATTGTTAACAAGTCTGATTCATAAAGCATAATTTGTTTTCTCTGACATAGTTTGAGTTAACAATTGTTCTCTGTTTGGCCAAGTTTAAATACGACTCTTCCTTGTTGCAATATTTAGAGACAGAACTGCATGAGCCTAAAAAAAAATCACAGTTTCTAATGAAAGCAAGGTAGTACTGCACCATTACGTGACGCAATAACTAAAAAGAAGATATCACAATAGATTTATCCACCGTAAGGGACAGATACAGGGGCAATATAGATTAATATCTGAGCGGGAACCCAGTAATTGTATAGCTATTTCTTCACTAGTGACTTACAGTCCTTTTGTCACTTATGATTAAAGGCTGTCCTCATAAACTGGCAAAGCAATTAATAATTGTCTAAAGTCTCTTGTAAAAAATAATACCTTAAAAACATATATTTTATTTAAGGTGTGTGTATATATATATATATATATAATTGATTTTTGTCCAGAAAGAGCAGCAGAACCATAGACTTAGTAATCCATCAGGAATGTCTCTCCACTGCTTTTTATTTTGTGCCCTTTGTCCCCACCTGTGGACCTCACAGCCTTCCAACATTTCAAACTTCCAACATAATGATGTGGACAGCCAGACCCTTTAAGATGAAAACATGTATTGCTGAATTATTCTCTTCTTAAGATAATAAGAAACATACCCAATTGAATATCTTCGCCACTGATTTTTTTAAAATACAGAGAATTCTAATGCTTCATTTTAAAGTTCTTGCAAATAACTAACATCCGTCTTCACAATAACGTAATTGTTTGAAAAAGATACTAGTTTTAGAATTGTCCAAAACACATTTCAGTATTGACAGAAAGACAAGAATTTTGGATGCTGCAAAAGCATCTGGACTAAAATATTACATTTGCTTTAACTGGTTTTCTTCCTCTTGTAATAACTTCAAAAGTTATTTTAAAACATTAATATCCCCATTAGCACAAAAAAATTCCAAATATTTGTTAGAGATTAACCTGAAATTATCATGTCAATAAGGATCAAATAATAAATAAATAAATAAACAAACATACTGTCAGTATGTTCTAAAAATCTTCAGCATTTAATGCTGGAAATAAAACTGAATTTTGATTTACAAAAGGGATCTAAATCCCTTTTTCAATATCTTTATTGAAGGCATTATATAAAATTTCCATACAGAAGTCGACGTCTAAATATATGCCCACTGATAAAGCTGAAGGCAGGAACGTTTTTTTAACCACATAGACTTTTCTACTCCATTCTAATTTCTTTTTTTGCTCTCTCTTTTTTTTTTAGTATAGTCAGCGCATTCATTTTTTTATTCTCGGATTCCTGTTCTCTCTTAGTGCTTATAGGTACATATTATTGTTGAAGTCACCAGGGCAACAGAATAAATAGCATGCATTTAGCAGCCATTTAAGTTTAAGCAGAAGCCCAGCGTCTATTTATCCATTCTGCCATTCTTCTATTAGCATATACTGCTTATGCCTGGTACATAAGCCCTATACAGATAGTCCTCAACTTACAATAGGTCATTTAGTGACTGTTCAAAGTTACAACAGCACTGAAAAATGGACTTAAGACCATTTTTCATAGCTACAACCTTTGAAACATCCCCATGATCATTGCTGTGGCCTGGGGTCACTGATCCCATTTTTTGACCTTCTGACCAGCAAAGCCAATAGGAAAGTCAAATTCACTTTACAACCGTGTTACTGCAGTGATTATCAACTGCAGTGATTCACTTAACAACTGTGGCAAGAAAGATCATAAAATGGGGCAAACTTCACTTAACTATGTCTCACTTAACAACATAAATTTGGGGCTCAATTGTGATCATAAGTCAAGGACTACCTGTATAAAGCTACTACCATACAGAATCCCTACCATATAATCTCAAGAATTTCTGTTTTCAAGTAGAATGTTTCTGAATTTCCCATAACTTTACAATAGCTCAAACAGTCATTTGAGATCTTGAAGACAATAGCTGTAGCTATATTCTATTCTATTCTATTCTATTCTTTCTGATGTGCACATTTCTTTTTCCCTTTTATTTCTCTTTTTTCTTTGCACTTTAATTGCTAAGCAATGGCAAAAGAACTATATGTTTGACTGGAAACTCTTGCCTGCATGATGATTTCAATGAAATCTCAATGGTAATTTTAGGGAAATGCTTTGTTCACATAAACTGAAGCACTTTTCCAAAGCTGCTAAGAGATGCTAGTCTTTCAGGGGAATAGTATCCTATGTTTTTTAAGTAGTTTCTTGGCATCACATATAAATCCATTTGCACCAACCAAGCTGCCAAGCCAATCAATAATGTACCAGCAGAGGCTTTGAGCCATTTCAAATAGATCCCAAATGACACAATTCAATAAAATATAGATGGGCTAAGGTTTTTTTTTAGCAGTTTGCACAGGTGATTAGATTGCATGCTTTCATTCCTATGTGTTACGCCTACTTTATAGTAACAAGTTTTCCTACTTTTTAAAGTAGATTTCAGGGAGAGGGATCTGAGATATTATAGCTAAATTGACCTTCCAACAAGAGGGGAAAAAAGGAAATGTTGATTTTTAAAAACATCCCTTTTTGAGTTAAAAATGAGACACAATTGCATGTAAAATATTGGCTTCTGAAGTCAAAACTGGGCAATAATTACAGTTTCAATGGAAAAGCTCTTTATAGAAAGAAAAATCTATAGTCAATTTTCTGAATAAGTGGGAGAGTTACTGTTTTGCTAAAACCAGTTAAATAATTAATGTATGGCTTAATATCTACAATACTACACAATTATGAAATATCACATGCATATCAAAAAGCTACCAATTGTTTTTTTTCTGTAGCCCATCTCTTCCATTAAATATATCTGTGTATCCTATGTCCTAAATCTCTTAGCAAGGCAGATCCTTCTTTTCCCAGGAGAGAGGAAGAACATCACTTAAAATAGCAAATTGATTACAGTATTTACTGTACCAATTTCCTTTAAAAAATACTAAGCAGTTGATAACATACCATTGTATCTATACTACAGAGGAAGGCGATGTGACTGGCCTAGGCTTCCTGTCCTGTTTTGTATATTTTTATTCCACATCAGATTTCGTTTCCAGTAGTGGCAAGGTGTTGGTGGCCACACATTTCTAGGAAGAATAGGAAACTAATAAGAGTATATCTCTTCAATACAAAACTTTATTAGTTGTGAGCTACGGTATTTATTTTGGCAAGATTCAATTAATTTCACATTTTGGATATCTAAGTAATAAATATTACAGGCTATCATGGAAGGGCTCTACAATCAGCCTAAAAGATTGCAGATTATAACCAGTTAATTGGTTATAACAGAATTAAATCTGTGAAGTTTCTCTTAAAAAAAGATTGAAAATACGTACTTGAATGAAGCATGTTTGCCATTGCAAAAGAAAGGAAACAGATAGAACCTGTTGATAAAACTTCAGGAACTTTCCCACAGGTGGACAGTGCATGCAATCTTAGGTCACATCTCAACTGAGACCTGAAGTCACAGGGCCAGTCATTTGTTCCTATTACAAAACTGTTGAGGATGAATGAGTTCGGGACGGTAACAAAACATAATACTGTCTATTTTATGGGGACAGCATGCCAATTCTGTCAAGATTTACTAATACAACTTCAAACTTTGTTTCTGATTGAATATGCAATAGTATCATCATTTTCATTATAAACTAAAAAAAAAACTAGAAAGCAATAAAGCTTAAAGAAATGAATCAAACTGTGCAGTAGAAAGCAGAAGATTTTGGAGTACTTGATAACCCACTTTTTCTATTCCAAAAATAGTAATTGAAGAACATTCAGAAGAGTCAGACTATTACCCCATCTATCTTATTGTTGGTTTTCCAATCTGCTGATCTTCAGATACTTTTGGTCAATCACTCCCATAAAATCTGTGTCAATCTGGATTATGATGCTAAAGTAGCAGTCCATCTTACTAGCTGCAAGACTGATCCACACTGAAGAAATGCTTGCACGGCTTTCTTAATCCTACTTGAAGATTTCAGGGATTGAACCAATGACACTGAATAAGCATTTGGTTATCATTAAACTATAGTGCTTTCCAAATCTTGGCATACCCAGACAGATACTGTGATGCTGTACAAATTCAAAACCAGGACTGGGATGTAGAAACATCAGCCTTCCCTGCCATAGAAAATTATTCAAATTGGCTAATCATGGTTGCTATTAATTTCTTTTAATGACTATCAGAGAAAGCATCAGGCAAATGCTCTGATCATGCAGAGGCGCTCATGTAGCAGCTGCCTATAACTCTTTAAAGAAGCTAAGTCATTTTGTGGTATTGTTGCACTTAATATAAACCTGCTTGACAGGAAGTTTAGTCTGTTCCCATGTGCTCTAAAGCATACTTTTGCCTTCAAATCAAAAGCACATACATCCCTGTTTCTTGCAGAACACCAAATAACATAGCTGGGATAGCTGATATTGTTAAACTATATCTGATCATATTTGATATAAATTTCCCAGCAAGCACAGCTATCCAGACTCACAGGCTCTAGAACAGGAGTATCAAACTCAAAGCCCGGAGGCCGGATACGGCCTGTGGGGTGCTTAGATCTGGGCTGCAGGGCTGCGCTGGAAACAGCGAAGGACTGGCCCGCAGTGCCTTTCCCAGTGAAAATGGAGCTTGGGAGTGCTCCATTTTCGCTGGCAGAGGGTTGCAGGAGGCCATTGCAGCCGAAACGAAGCTCAAAAGACCATTTTCACTGGAAGAGCACACAGGTGAGCACACAGGTGACCACAGGCACTCCCTGACATCAATCTGGCCATGCCCACCCTGGCCACATCCATCCCCTCCCCCCAAGGTCAAACAAAACTCTGATGTGTCTCAATGAAATCGAGTTTGACATTCCTGCTCTAGAACTATGCATCCATCTTTTGATCTTGCTATAGTCATGTCCAAGCATTCATACTTCAGATAGCTATACACTTACCATCTACACATGAAGGAGCAGCATGTGTTGTCCCAGCCACCTGACCTGGAAAGCAGGAACATTTCACTGTTTGGGAGCGCTCTTCAATCTTATTCTTATTACAGCATCTGTGGGCAGCAATGACTTCACACGTACCAGGTTCTATGTGCACTGCAAGAAAGGAAAGCATATAGTACACCTATGTTTAAGGAGCAGAAAGACATAGAATACATAGAATAAAATAAATAAAGGAAAAAGTAGATCAAAAAGCTTAGCAGGTTTTTTTAAAAAAAACCTTTGCTAAATGCGTTAAATAAGAGCTGAGAAAAAATACAATTTTTCAGCAGCCAACTATCAGCAAGAAGTCATGCATCTGGAAAAAAAATCAAGGCTCAGCTGAGTCCAAAACACCAGCTGTATCTAAAACAACAGGTTCAATTAACTGTGTTTATGAGCAAATCCAATAGTATACTCATTATAAAGTCATTAGCATTGGCTAATGTCGATTCCATAAAAAGGTTTCTTATCAAAACATTGCAAACTGAAAAAATTACATTGGTGGCATGTTCTTGTCATAAACTCTGGCAAAATTGTTTGAGTAAAATGTGGTACAAGCCACACAAGAATACTTTTAGACAGCCATATCCAGTTGAACTTGCATCAACTTTCCCCAACCTGTTGCCTTTCAGATGTGTTGAAACTGCAACAGTCAGATTTGCTATTCCCAAATAATCTAGAGAAATTTCATGATAGGAATGGCTGATATAAATTTACTCATAACTTCACTGCTTTTCGAATCGTCACTAATCCAAAACCAATCTAAATCCAAAGAAAAATTACATGTCATGACAATGGAAGTAATGGACATCAATTTGAGGTCATCTGAAGCTGATTTCTAGATCAATTTGAATTTAATAATTTTGTAGACTTCCTGTTCCTATCATTGCTTTTTTCTCCTTCTATCCTATGCCTAAAATTTATCATTTTTGAACATGATTACCAACTTGGGATCCAGGATTTTATATGGAAGTGCATTTGCCTTCCCTAGAAACCATAATCTAAAAGATTTATAGATGAGATACAATTTAATCCAAGAATCTAAGCCATTTATATCTTTTTCTGTTACTCCAGCAAGTAACAAACTAATAAAGCTATATTTTATAATACTGCATTCCATTTCCCTTTTGTAACTAGAGTTGAGTCAGCTGATGTATATTTATCAAATTAATTGATTGTTTCTTCTTGTTATCATTTAATTTAAATATGATCATCAGTTAAATAAAACTCAAGAATGTTTTTGAGAATTCAAGTAAAAACACTTCATATTTGTTAAGTGTCAATCATTTGATGACTCATTTCATTTTTGCTATTAATAATGTAATATAAGAAAATTTGCTTAACTTTAATTGCATGTCACAAGAAATGAAGCATAATGGCCACTTAGTTGGCCCAAAACAGAGGTATCTGGCACTTTTACAGGGGCATTTTAAAGGAGTGTTTTGCTGGGTTCTTTATAAGGTTGCAGACGTGATTCTAATTGTAAAAATGTTCACAAGAATGACATAAATAATTAAACAATTGATTTCCCTGGAATTATCTCATGTTTAAAAAGAATTACATTAACAGCCCCCTTGATATTTGCCTCAATATCTTTAAATTTGTAAATAAGGTAATAAACAAAGCCAGAGGTATTGAAATAATTTTCTTAAATCTCCTTTCTTCAATGTCCTTCAATGTCCTTCCTATGCATATGAAAGGGATCCAAGTCTAGGGAGACTTCCTGAACCAGAGGCTCAGGACTTATCATCAGCAATTTTACTACCATTATATGCATATATATCAGGAAGCAAATCTTGCATTTTATAAAAGTTTTTTCGAAGAAAAGATGCTGAAGATCAGTCTCTTAAAGAGATGGAGGCAGAATTAAAATTATTTGACCTAGATAGTAAGAAAAGTCCTTGGCTCAGAGCCTATGTATATTTCGGCATTATTACCACTTCCATTTATGTATATTTATTGATATTTCATGGACGTTTTCTACTAATGAACCATCACTTTCATTTCTGCCCTTAATAATCACACAATTATCTATCCTGCAAATGTTTGGTAATAATATTCCTGACTATAAATTTGACACACTGCTTCTCTCTCCCTCTGTCTTTAAATTTGTTAGTAATTCAGTTTTAATGAAAGTTTTCAATATGCAAAAGGAACATAGAAGCTGAAGTAGATAAAGCAGCCAACAAAAATATTCTGGTATATAATCTAAATAAGTAATCACCTCCTGGATTTTATTGATTATAAATGCTGCAAAGGAATTTAACAGAACATATTTGACAAAAAGATACAGTTGTCAATTCATAAAGTTATTGTTTGTACATAATAGGTATCTAGCTATTGTTCAGTTTATGGAAGTCGGGACACTGCAGCAGACTTAAATGCTTTTTAATAAAGTGTATGACTAGAAATATTTTTCATGAATTAGATTTCATATATTGCCTTGAGAATATATACTGGAATTCCATCTTTTTTCAGTTTTACTTAAAACTCATAAATTCTCACTAAAATATAATCTCAAAATATAAAGGTTCTTAGTATTGATCATTGGAAATATTAGCAATTTCAAAAGAATGTCCTATGAGGGAATAATTACTGCTCCATTGCCTAGCCTTAACAAAAAACAGAGCTTTAAGCGCCATGCATCTCAAGCCAGTTAGTTAACATATCTACAAACACTGCTGTGTCTTCCCTTAGAATTCAGCATAAAAAATAGTGTTTCCTGTATTAGGCTTTTTATATATTTCAAGTCATAACCATTTACATCAGTGCAAAAAACTTGTGCATATAGTATTCTATGACAATGTAATTCATTCTTTTTTTTTAAGTCAAGTATATTTTAAGTCTGGTCAAAATATAAATGATGACGCGATCAAGAAGTGGACTTTTTACAAAAAGAAATATGTACTGCAATTAAATGTTTTTTTTCCAAAAGTTTCATATTAAATTTTATTATTAATTGATAAATAACTTTGAATACCTAATAAAATGTTTGACATAAATTTTGACTTATCTGCCTCTTTTCAATTCTTTATTACATGTTGTATTTGACTCCACATTTTTTAATAAATAATTTCAACATCTTTTTTCATTAAGATTTTATTTGTACACTGCCCAGAGTCACTGTGTAAAGGAGATGGAAAAATTCCGGCATTCTAGAGTCATGTGATTGCCATTTGCAACTTTCCTACCTGAAGGTTTATGTTACGCAAACTTATATTTTGTATTTTATGTCTGCTGGTTGGTTTATGGTCTGGTTCTTTGTGTTGTGGGCTATGACCAAAACCAAATACAATATATCCATCCATCCATTTATCCATCCATCAAACAAATAATTCAACAAAGCTAAATTATAGGAGTTTTGAGTCAAATTGAGGGAGTTATTAAACATAGAGCAAAATTAAATTGGGGGCTAGCAAATGTTATCCCAGGTTCTCCAAATTTAAGAGTTCCAAATTCCCACACTAATATTAATAATTAACTAAGAGCTAATAAAAGCTAATAACAATGGGATCTTGGCAAATTGGAGAGAAGCACCTGGATTTGTCTGCTTGTTTATTAAACAAATTTATATGGTCTCCCATCTCACTATGTACTGGACTACTAACTACATCATGGCAACCAGCAAAGACATGCACCAAGGGAATTTAAAAATAACTCAAGATGAGGAGCACAAAATCTTTTTTAATGCACATCACAAATATTTTAAAATGGTCAAGTCTTTGATTGCACAATGATACCTGTAATCCTGACTTTTTTTATAATCCACCCCTACTCCTGCAGTTACATTGGACAGGTAAGGTCCGAAAGAATGCAAAATTGTTTGTCATTCATAATTATAGGACTTAGCAAATATTCACCAAGATGGACATTTTCAGGGGAATTGAAATTGTGGAGGATATCAGTGGCTACTTGTGATAGGTTTCCATGGAATATTTTGTGTTACATTGTGGAAACAGAATGCTGGACTAGGTAAGTTATGATCTGCTCCAATATGGGTTTTCTAATGTTCGCCTTCTCAGCTGATTATTGATGTAATTCACTTAGTAGCTGAGAAGTATTTCACTAAATAGCCAAGAGTGGGCAAAAAAGGCAGTAGGAGTAGAAGTGACTGTGATCTTTCTGCTGGCTTCCCCAATGAGTTTCCTTCTGGGAAGCTGGCAAAAATCCTTCCTTCCTTCCTTCCTTCCTTCCTTCCTTCCTTCCTTCCTTCCTTCCCTCCCTCCTCCCTTCCTCCCTCCCTTCCTCCCTCCCTCCCTCCCTCCCTTCGCTAGAAAGAAGACATTGGAAAAAGCCTCAGAGATTCCTTTTGAATATTGGGGACAATTGTTCAGATGATAAATAAATCTGGCTGACACGCTCTGTCCCTTTTCTCAAAATCCCATTTATTTTTGAGTCACTTTGGCTGTTCTTTCCAGAATTATCATCCTTACACACAGTCTGTCCCTCAATATGTGACTTTTGCAGCTTTCTCCTAAGAGGTCATCTATGTATACTTTGTGTATGATCTGTAACCTCAAGTCAAAAGTAATACACTTTTACCAGTATATTTATTCAACATGTATCTAACTATTGACAGGAAGAGACAGAGGGCTTCAGGCAGGGGTGGGCTTCAGGCAGGGGTGGGTTTCAGCCAGTGTTACTGCTGGTTTGCTCCTGCATGCGCTTCCTGTGCGTGTGTGCACTGGATGCATGCTGCATGCATACTGGATGCGTGCTGCATGCACATGCATAGTTCAATAGAAATTATTCTGTGCATGTGCAAAACTAAAAAAAATGGTGGTGGTGGTGACCAGGGAACAGGTTTGGGGGCATGGCCATCCTGGGTCGCTGCCAATTCTGCGACCCAGGCCGGCATTCCACGACCAGTTCGGCCGAACCAGGTCAAACTGGTAGGAAAGTACCTCTGGCTTCAGGGTATTAATGAAAAATTAAAACAAATGCAAAATTTTTAGATCCCAAGTCTCAGACTATTTAGAGCTATTTGTAGAAAAACTAATATGTGCAGGTTAACTTCTACACATCTAAGCATATTACAGATAAAATCTTACCTACCATAATTATTTTTCCAAGTTCAGATAATTTCTGATTCATACCAAGAAGCATTTGAAAGC